TTAAATTTCCAGCGTTAAGTGCACGTCTGCTCGAATGAATTTCGGGTGTTAGCTTTCCTAATGTGGCAAAAAATCCACCGTTTTCGAGGAATTGCGAGTGGAGCAGCTGGCTTCTGAGTGAACTGCTCAGCTGGAAAGGCAGTTTTACAAAATCTGCTCGGGAAAGGAAAACCAATAAGTAAGGGATTGACGTAGCCATTCTCTGGAAACCGTTGCCCCTTCAGGGCTCACGCGTCACAGAAGCAATCGGATTTGTTAAAGTCAATTGAAACACTTGAATTTCCCAAAGTTGAATGAACACGTTCCGAATGCCTGCCAGTCAGGGTAAACCGCCCGTTGAGCAAAGATTAACTAGGGAGGTGGTTGTATCTAGGATCTTTGGATAGGGTTGCTCCTCTGGATTGAGCTGTGATTGTGGCAAGAGGACTCGTACTTGAGTCTTTCAGAAGGGGTCGTGATAGTGAAAGCCAAGGGTCGTGTTGCAGAAGGGAAGGGATTGAGGGTTCTTTTTCGACGGGTTTTCTTTACAAAATTGGCGAAATTTCTATGAAAAAAGGCTCGGTAGGTGAAAATTTGCCTTACAGAACTTTCAAGAAGAAGCCGTGACGTAGGTGAAGTTTGTGTACTGGCCGGTTTCGTCCTATAAATCGTCCTCTCCTTCGTCCAACTGCCTCGTGGTCAGAAAGAATAAAATTCCATAGAAGATTAAAATTCCATGGAGAAAGGCATGGTGATGAGGGTGGGGAATCGGGATGGTGACAGGGAAAGGTCGTATGGGATACTCTTCCAACGCTGGTGGTGGTGGTGGTGGGTCGTTTTGAGACCCCTGAGGAGCACGGTTCGTTGAAATTTGCTAACTTCACGAGATGAGAGTAGGCCTTGCTTCCAGTTCTCTTTTACAACTTTCCATTTCAATCATAACGGTGTAGTTTTCGTGCAGCTCTTCTACCACGATAGATAATAAGAGATGAAGATGAACTGCTCCTTGACAGTCAATGCTCTGGTATGAGTCGTGCGCGTAACATCTAAACAGTATCGTAGAATCAATTGACAACGTGGTCTGCTGCATGCAAACATTCGTGGTCGTCGTTCCTCGTTGCGAAGCTTCTACATATGGTATCGGCTTGGCTCCTTCCAGATGTCAGCGCAAATACTCCGATCTTTCCCTACGTCTTTTGGAGCTACTACGTGATTCCTTAAGGAAAACACCTTACAGGAGCAAAGTCTTTTGGGTCACTAATGACGTTGCCTGCAGCGTCCACGGGAGCATGACTTCGGCGACCTTCAATGATGCGAGTCCAGCGAACGAGAAAATAAGCGTTTCTCCTTTGTGCTTTTTCCAGTCCGCAGAAGCAAAAATTACCCAGTTGTTCTTTACCTGTGGATATGTATAGATTGATTTTTATGACCTGTGAAGCGGTTGAGTGGGAGCCCGCTAGAATTCATTGCACTGATCCTAAACCCTCAGCAATCAGCTCACATAACCTCGCCTTAAGGACGAAAATTGTGAATTGGCAGAATTAGCGTGGCATTGCGTGGCACGATTCAAGAACTCTTAAGCCACGTGATGTTTTTTCATCGAGATTTAGCCACGGTGCCACGTGGATTTTTTTGGCTGACAAAGAGGTACCCTCTATCTCGGACAATCGATAAGTAGCGACGTCTAGTTCGACAACACACCACAATACGACGGTCAAAGATAGTCAAAGCCCCTCTTTTCTGCGCGTCTCTTATGGTGTGTAGTCGCATTGAAGCCCTCTCGTTTCCAGAAATGGGGTTTCATACCGAATTGAACTGTCGATTTTACTCAAAAACAGGCGCGCCTTTCCATCGCTGGGCAGAATTTGTTTATTATTTGTTGGGCCCACATACAATCCTTTCTGCGATCTCGAATGAACGACATAAGCATGACTCACACAAAAGGAGCTGATTTACATGAAGCATCCGTAATAACTTCGTATAGCTCCCTGCTCAAGTTCTTTTTAATATCACTCATGTTCATCTTGGCCTTTTGATTTATGCAGCTATTTTTAATGCATCGGAGTTAGACGGCTTATAAAAGGAAAATAAACTACTGTCATTATTATATTGTAAGTTCTGCATAATATCATAAATTTAATTATTATATATTTCAAGAGCACGGTCGAGACGAGCTGTGTGTATGTTGCTCGCAATTACGCAAGAAATTATGAATAGAAGAAACGTGATAACAGTAAGCGCGAGAGAGGTATTGTAAATCGTGTATTTTGAAGTAATGACGTCGCAGGTGAAGCATTACCTAATTTGTTTTGCGTTCTTACTATTGCGACAGTAGCCGCTAAACTGCGATTTGGGGGGTCATGCTACCTCACTACGGAGGTTTCTCTAATATCTAATGGACCGTGCCTTTAAAATAGTCATTCGTTCCCTATGTAAGATTGGCCATAGTAATTTTTTACAACACACAACATTTCATTACAACACAGGTACATTCGTTGTTGCAGAATGTGAATATATGGTTACTTGACGACGATTCACCCGTGCATGGATTTGCTGTCTCTTTCAAAGTCAAGGATTTCCTGCATATTAAAGAGGTACTTTTTACTTTTGCTTTTGTTTTTTTTTCTACCATTTTTTGGGCCATATGTTGTTTTTGGTGGGCTGAAGTGGTGTAGTGCCACACGGCGCCGCTTACCATGCGTGCTATCAAGGGAACAAATCCTGGATATTGTGCGTGTTAAGCGGCGTCGCTTTCCACCACACCGCCGATGCCGCGCTTTTCAGTTAATATTACCCATTACTTATATTATTATGGCTTATTAGCTATCCTATATTCACTATGGAGTATTTAGAAATATAATAACGATTGGTGGATCGGTCGGTTAGTCAAGGAAGGTCATGATTTGGGCTTCATTCCATCGCCGGTGAAGCTTGAATCACTTCGACAGCAAACTGCAAAAGCCGGAAAGTTGTGAGTGGTAGCCAAGTTCAAATTACCCTTACAGTGTCCAGTAATGTTACAGAGCAGGGTCATTAAATACTTTCCTTATAGGAAGTCCCATTTCAGTAAGCAGTCAACGTCGACGACAAACCTCGGTGCCCTGGACAACATGATGCCACGCAGCGAATCACGAGGATCAACCCCGCCCACTCCAGGTGGGCGTGGCTCTTCACAGTCTACCACAACGGTTAATCGGTCGTTCCTTCATACTGTATTGATAAAATGATTTGCAGAAGATGACGAATACAGTGCTAGGAAGATAACGAACATTGTCACGACTCCGCCCACCAAAGAGAAGAAGAAACTGATATTCAAAAAGGTAAGCTTGACTATCAGCGGTGTTCCTGCTAGCTTAATGGAGCCGAAGCTTTCAGTACATGAGTGAAAGATGAGTATTGATTACTGTTCTGTCTTTTATCTCTCAAAAAATCGATGCCTAGCTTGAATTGAAATTGAAAAGTTTTATCCAACAGTGAGTAACTTTTCCAGCAAGAAAATCTGCCGCCGTACGATGTCGTGCCGTCGATGCGGCCGGTTGTTCTTGTTGGCCCGAAGCCTCAAAGGTTACGAAGTGACCGATATGATGCAAAAAGCGGTGTTCGATTATCTGAAGCATCGATTTGAGGGCAGGTACGAATTG